CACCATCCACACCATCCACACCATCCACACCATCCACACCATCCACACCATCCACACCACACACACCATCACCTTGCTTTCATCCCATCCAATTCTTGTCTATCCTATCCCCCCATCTATTTCTCATGCTCCGTGCTCCCTGCTCCTTGCTCCGTGCTCCGTGCTCCACTCCGTACTCCTGCTCCATCTATCTCCCATCGCATCTTTGCATAAACCCCCCTTGTACCTGTACATTAGTCTCTCTCTCTCTCTTGTGCTTCTCTCTTGACTCGCGCTCGAAATGTACTACAGTACAGTACACTAGAGGATTTTTTTTTCAATGCCAACAATCTCGTTGACATTGATATTGCCTTTTCACCTGCCTTGCCTTGCCTTGCCTTGAGAGTGATGAGAGCAGGACACAGAGAGTGTGTGAGTGAGTGAGTGTGAGACAGAAAGGAAGGACAGTATACGAGCAAAGTAGAGCAAAGTGCAATTCCATACATCATTTGGTTTGGTGTGCAAGACAGGACAATACGTAAGAGGGATTGGCATAGAATGTACAGTGCGTGCGTGAGCGTGAGCGTGAGCGTTTGTAGCGAAGGTTGGGAGCAAGGGATGGTATAGATTGATCGGGGCATGAAGAATTCGTGAGGGGGTGCGTGCGTTTCCATAAGAGAGAGAGAGTGAGTGAGAGGGGAAATGAAGAGATGAAACAGGGTCCAGGGTACCGCACATCCTTCGACGTTCGAGTAAGTAGAGCAGGTGAGGGGTGGAAGAATGAGGAGGACAGCACGAGGTGCTTACCTTGTCGCCTCAAGACGGAGCACCCGCTTGATTACTGCCCGGTGGTGTGGCAGCAGCAGCAGCAGTTGCACTCGTCGGTATCTCCGGAGAAGGAGGAGCAGATGTACCGCCCGCTGTAGCTGCAGAAGGTTGAGGCGAGGAATTCCTCGACTGTGACTGCGGCTGTAATCTCGAAGCCCGCTGGCTGGGCGTTGCATTTGCCATTCCCATGGCCCCAACTCCCGAATTCGGTCCATCAGCACCGCCTTTGTGCGAAGAGAATGAAGGCGCTCTCCCCCCAAAGGGTCTGGGGATAGCCGCACTCGACTCGTCCGCCTTGCCCTTGGCTGTGAAGCCGGTCGATTCGAAGAAGCCTAGCACACCGATGTAGCTCGGTTCAGCGGGTGAGTCTTTGCGTGCAGGAGGCCCCTCTACCGAGGCAGCGACAGAGGAGGCTCGCCTCTGGCTCATTGCGGGCACAGCGGTTTCCTCCTCCTTGTCCTCCGGACCAGCGCTAGCTGCAGAAGACACCTTTGATGTCCGGCGAGCATCAGAGACGGTGAAAGGCGTGTCTGATCCCGGGAAGTTAGAAACGGGCTGATTGAGGGGCCCGCCTCTCGGATCGCCAAAGACACCTGCGCTGCCTGAAGTGGAGGGACGAGGAGGCACAGAATGTGCAGGCTTGACTCTGATTGCTGGTGACATACTTAATGCTGAGCTGGCTCTGCGACCTGCAGGTGGTGCGACGGGCGTGTACACCTCGGGTGATCCACGCGCGTTCCTCTGGGGAGAGGAGGACCTATCTCCAGTTGTGCCCGCTGCACCCCCTGCTGGTGGAATGCCAGAAGAGGTGGGAGAGATGTCTGCGCCTGAGTCTTGCGACAGATGCCGGGGTAGAGCGGATTCATTGGTACCTGCGTCGGAGATGCTGCCATGCTCACTCGCAACTGAGCCAAGCGAAGGTGCCGCATTGTTGATGCCCTTTGTCATCTTTTCCTTGCGTGTCGCCATCTTTCTACCCTCGACGGATTCCAACTCCCCTTCTCGCCAGCCGAGAGCCCCTGCGATAAGGGAGCCGCAGTCTGCCCTTTTCCACAGTAGGTCACGCAGAGAGTCCAGCTCTTTATCGAAGGCGGCGCGATTCTTCCACGGATGGGCCCAGGAGGCATGGGATGCCTCACTCGTAGTGCCCGTCATCCTTCCCTGGCCCAGGTGGCCAGCAGCTCGAGTCAAGAGAGTATGCTTTTCTTCCTCGGCCTCTCGCCACAGGAGATCGCGCATCGAGGAGAAGAGCTCCGCTCTGTGGACAGTGAGCAGATTGAGCATTCCAGAGACGTCTTTTGGTGCAAAGCCGCTATTCGAAAGACCTTGACCAATCTGTGCTCGAGAAGTAAAGTGCTTGGTCCAGTCGATCTTGCTCGGGTCTGTCTGGGTGATCGTTGCTCTATCGTGAGGATCGACTAAGAGGGGCATCCTACGAGGATTGCCGATTTGTAGGTCCCGGAAATCGGAGACAATGAGAGAAGTTGGAATGACCGACAAGACTTGCGAATTGATGAACCGTCGGGACAGGAGCCTCTCAATGGCATCTTCTACCGCGCCGAATTGGCGGGGTGGCTGAGGCACTTGCTCAGTGAGACTCCCGACCTGAGGTTGACCACTGGCTGCCTTGCGCATCTTTGCTACAGACACGTGTGTCACATTGCCCACAAAGGTGAGATTGTTCTCGAGCTGTCAATGGTTGCAAAGCGTGCAAGGAATTCGATCAGCGCCGATCACCCTTGCGACCCCGATACCTCTTTTACTCACCAATTCTAGACGTCCTTCGGGCTTGAGTACCCTTGTCACCTCGGTCAGGAAGGCATCCCATTGGTTCTCTTGTATGGAGTATGCACCAATGTAGCGTACGTGGACGAAATCAAAAGATGCCGTGGGAAAGGGCAGCTCCTCTAGAAAGTTGGCCACGACCCAGGAGACCCTCTTCTGTAGATCAGAGTCCTTGAGCTGGTCCAACGGCGTCTGGCATGGTACCACGTCCAAGCCGATGAATTCTGCATTCTTCCAAGCCCGAGCGGCATCAACACACCATGCACCGGAACCTGTACCGAGGTCCAGCACCTTTGTGGGATGTGCGTCGCCCCAAGGTATGAGGCTATGCCTTTGCGTCAAGGCCTCATACGTGACGCTATGCAAGATCAGCTCGCTTCTCATTGCTTCAGAGCCGTGGGTGAGAATGTATGGCACCACTGCCTTGGGGTAGCCATGATACCTCATTCTCCTCTTGGCGCCGGTAATGGTCCGATAGTCTGAAAAGACAAAGTAGTCGTCCAGCTCCCAGCGGGCGGACGATAATGCTGGATCTTCGCTCTCTTCTGCGAGCACGTCATGCTGTTTCATCGAGGACCGCATGCCCCCGTTGCTGAGCGGGTGGATCGAGGGCATCTTGTGTAATGTTGATCGCGGCCGCTCGTCTTCCTCTGTCCTCCTTGTCAAAGTGTCCAGGCTGGACGTAGACATGGCTGCACCTCCACTGTTGCCGGAATTCTCTCTTGAGGCAGTGGCTGGCCTCCTGATCTTCGGAGGTGGATTATAGAGGTAGTAGCCATCGACATACCGAGCTCCGGTCGAGCCCGCCTGGCTGCGAAAGGGAGCGGCAGGACTGGCTGTCTGGGCTTGTCGAAGCTCGGCTTGAGAGAATGGAGGGATGAGGCCGAGTCTAACGGGAAAGGGCTGATCCTGAAGCTCATCGCATGGCTCTGGCTGTGGCATTTCCGCCCAAGCAGGACTTCTCACTGGACGTGAGGGAGCATCGAGCCAGGTGACGTCTGTGTCTGAGGACTTTCTCGTTTCCAGGGATGGGCGCGCCCCGTCCATCAAGGACGTCTTCGATTGAGTGAATGTCTGCTCGTAGCGGCCGCGGGACTTTGATCGTGACACATGAACGTAAGGGCCGCTGCCTCGTTCTGTTGATCGTCCTTCGCGATGGGAAGTTGAGATTGGAGACAAGGGCATCCCAGCAAGGAGACGACTGTTCGAGTCGGATGTATTAGAGCGCGATGGGCCAGCTGCACTTGCAGTGGAGCTGCTTCCGGCGGAGGGGTTGACTGCCGCGCCGCCATTGGTGGCATAAATGTTGGCCGGCGCGATAGCCCCAGCTCCGCCCCTTCCCGCCATCCTCACCCTGGCTTTGGGCGGTGAAACGTCAGAAGACGGACCGGCGCTGGTGGTCATAGCTAGAGGACTGAAGACGTCGGACTGACTATCGGACCCGAGCCTGCTCGAGGAGTGCGGCTGCTGCTGCTTCTGCTGCTCGCTGCCGAAAGCGCCACTTTCTGAGCTCGGCGGGGTAGGATGAGAATGTTTGGTATTCTGGAAGAGTAATGGGGAGCCGGTGCTCCTAAATGACCCGAAAGGCTTTGGCGAGCTCGCGTGGCCCGCTGACCAAGGTCGCCGCTTAGCTTTTGGGCCGGCGTTGGCCGAGGATCGCAAGGCTATCGAGGGAGCGTAGAGTTGCGGAGCTGCATCTGACGGCGCGTGTGAGCTCGGCGGTCCTTGGCCATAGGCAGAGAGGCTAGAGTGGTGACTCTCACCCATGGTTGGCGGGTGCTCCAGCCCTTGGGGATGCATTGGTACGGCGAGTGTGCTCGATGTCGAATTGATACTCGGTTCTGTCGGCCGGAAGTTGGACAGGAAAATCTGGGAGAAGCTTCCTGAAAGGGCTCAGCGGAGATGATTTTGCTCAGCCTGGCGGCTACCGCATTGCAAGGTCAGCGAGACAGGGGGAGATGAAGCCTTGCTAATCGTCACAAAGAAAGGAGCAATGACGGCTCCTTGGTGGGCGCTACGTCTGCGATAGAATAAGAGTGATGGAGGAAAGCAGGGTTGGTAGCGTGGGAAAAAGAGGGAGAGGTGAATAAGTTGGAGGGAGGAGGAACAGGGATGGCTCAAAACGCAACTCGATGGCTGCGAGACCAGAGTGAATGAGAAAAGGGTACTCGCTTATGGCTCAGCTGGCAGCAGACGATCTAGATCGGTAGAGTGTTGGAGGCCTGGGGTAGATCAGTCATGGCAGCGCGCGGGGCAAGAAAGGGCAAGGCGGGGAACAAAGGCGCTGTGCTCGATGACTTCGGCGGACAGTGAGCAAAGGACGGCGAAAAGATGCAGGACTAAGGTGAACCATGGCAGGCAAGAAGGCAGTCAGACAGCCACTCGCAGCCCAAGACGCCACGGAGATCTGCGCCTTGATTCTAGAGTACCAAAACACACGGCCGCTCACGGTACATTCAAAGTCAACCTTGATAGACTAGAACTGCCGCGGCGCATTTCTCGAGATGCATCATCGCGTCAAGGAGGCTTGCCCAATCTTCAAAGTCAGCCTCCACGAGCATTCCGCGATGCCTGTCAGCCAAGATGCAATCAAATTCAGAGCAAGGTCCGGTAAGCAGAACAATCATCGTCACAAGTCAGATGCCAGGTGTTACCATTGGGTCGGAGTTCTATACATGCTCTTGCCATTAGATTGGAATTCTACACGTGCTCAGGTATGTGGGAAGGAGGAGAGGGGGAAATTGAAGAGAATGGTTCTGGTGTCGAGTCGCCCCCGCCAAGCCGGGCCTGGCCTGGCTCGGACGAGGGCAATGAGCGAAAGTCGCTTTCAGGCTTGCTCGGGGTTGCTTGTGTGGCCTGAGTATCTAGAGCCAGTGGCCCGCGGCCAGGATGATGAGCATGACAGAGCAGACAAACGTCATACTGTATCCCTTCGGAGGGCTCGTAGCAGCATTGAAGGACTGGTAGGTGTCTCCCGAGCTAGAGCTGCCATTGACATTCGTCCCACCCTGGGGCGCTACATTGGCTCCATTGGCACCAATGGACCTGGTCGTATCAGTATAGCCGCTAGCAAGACACTTGCCTGCAATCGGGTCCCAAAAGGGAGTGTCACAATCTGCGGGAATTCGAAATCGAACCGATCCGTCATTGTTCTTCTGGGCGGGATTTGGGTTTGCGGCCGATGGCGTAGTCTCAGGGCAACCATAGCAGGTGTAAAAGGGCGAGTTGTTCAGTGGGTCTCCGGCTACATCGCTGATGCAGTGCTGAAGCAGGCCTGCCTCCAGGTGCGGAATGCCAGAGCAGATGGGCTGTGTGACATTCGGCGTATTGCACTTGAACTCGTCTAGCGTGTTCAGCTCGCTGGCCTTTACGGGATTGCGGATCCACGCTAGAAGCTGCTGGTTGGTAACAAGCCACACATTAGGCAAAGAGCTGTTCAAGGTCGCCCAATCGAGGAACTCATTGAGCATTGCCACAGTCGAGGTCTTGTCGGGCAAACCTGGGTATCCTGAGGCGATGTTGATGGGGTGACTGTACATACCAAAGGGCGTCTTGCGAGCGTAGTGGTCGAGGAAAGTATTCTGCATCCACTTCAGTACAACGTCAGGCTCGTCCTCCAGCCACGGATCCATCAAATAGGCGGTGCCTTCGCTGTCGTAGACACTGTACATCGGAAACTCCCAGAGGCCAGGCAATTGTGGCTGACCAGAACACATCCCACTTATACCATCACCACAGTCATTTGCGGCCCCGAAATCTAAGGTGTAAGGCCAGTATGCGTCCGTCGCTTCGCTAGTGACAGGCACCGAGGAAGACATGGATGAGTCGTAGGTGAAGCCGAGATCGTGGAGATGCTGCAGAGTCTCCATTGTATAATTCAAGAAGGGTGCTCTGAAACCCGCCACGCTCTTGTAGGTGAGACCAGAAAGGGCATTGAGGGCGATGAGATTTCCAGCGATTTCATCCTTTGCGGGTGCTCCGACATGAGAGACTGTGTGGTCGGCGAACTCCCAGTGACGGTCTACTGCCAGCTCTGTGATCATGGAGTAATTGGTGTAAGACAATGATGTATAGTAACTGAGGGTTGCCTTGCATCCGTTGCCGTTGGTGCGGCCTCCAATGAGAGTCTCAAGCGCGTCTACAGTGTATGACTGGACGGCATCGTCGGCAGTGAGCACGATGAATTGAGGCACATCTGAGAGATCAAGATTGCCTGGTGGAGTGGTCGAAGCACAGCGGCAGTTGTTCTCGATGAGGCACACCGATGGATCGCACTTGTAGGCTGCAGCTGCGGCTCCTCCTGAGCTTCCAGGAGAGCTTCCCTCGCCTGATGAGACAACTTGACGGCGTACGTGCTTCTGCTTCCTTGCGTTATGTTCCTTGGGATTACAGCCTTCGTCGAGAAGAGAGTGAGCGCTTACTGGAAGGAGAGTAGAGGTGAGCAAGAGGGCGATGACGACGGACACTAGACAGGTAGGCTTGGTCATCGTGTCCAATGCGATCAGAATGCGAAGTCCGATGTGATCAGAGCACGGCGACCGATGTGAACAGAACACGAATAGAGGGAGGTACGATCGAGATTCAAAGACTGGGAGGGAGTCGGAAGGGAGGGAATCGGGCGGTCGAGACACAAGGCCTGGAAGTTATCTAGAAAGGGTATGGTAGGAAGCATACCAATGTTACGATATTGTGCGGCTTTTACCATGAAATCCGATCAAGGGGGCAACGGACGATGCAAATCAGGGGTCTACGCACGGGTGATAGGTTATGCACCATGCACGGGCTCACCCATGCGCCAAGAAGTCGCCGCGGGCCCGCCGACGGAAACTCTCTGACACCCCAACATGAGATCGGAACGGGTCCACCCCGGGTACGACCGTCATCAGCTCGGCTCAGCTCAGGTACGACGCTCAATTGGTCACTGCGCGGACCATCGACCCGGTAGCAAAAGGAGCAGACCTTTGTCCCGCTGGCTGAAGTTCATAGGCTTGTCTCTTCCACCCTGTGTGCTAACTGACCTCCCCACTCTCAGCTTCACAAATACCACTCCCTGGCTGTGCCTTCACGTCTCGCCGAAGCTTCACACAATCACAGCAAGTGCAAGGCATCGATACTCCCTCTATCAAAACATGATGCAATCAGGAGAACCCTCGATTGGCTAGGACAGGAGAGAGTCAGAGATGAATGGAGGGGGTTTTTACCCCCCAATCATCAGCACTCAAGCATGTACCCCGAACTTCGTCACGACAAATGCAGAGAACTTGCTCACTGTGCTGACAACGTCCAAGTTGTCGACTGGGCCCGCAATCATGCGCACGGCCGCGCCCACAGTAACAAGCATTCCGACCTTTTAGGAAGTGACATCGTCGTTGCTAGCACCATCAGGCACGCACTTGGGGACGCAGTGGCAAATCATATTTTGACAGAGATCAAGGAGCAGCTATCGACATAGCCACCTAGCCATAAGCGCACCAGAGAAGCTGACGCACCTCTATCGACGAGGCATTAAAGCTTGAATAGGAGCGACCTCAGTAGGCTCGTCTCGATGGAATGGCAAGGAGAAGATTGAGATGGCACGGCACGGCATATGTACAGACCCTTCTTCTCGCTTCCGCTCGCTACGATGTTCCCCCAACACCAAACCACTCTCAATCATTCAATCAATTTCTCACATGAGTCATCACACTGTGCATTGCTACACCACGACCCCAGAACTGCCTAATACATGAATCGATTCGACGGTAAAACGAGAATGGTAACGTACATGGGTGGGAACACAACTGCGCCTCTTCAGCTCCAGCTCACGCTCAGCGCAGCGGCAATCTAGCCGACGCACCAGCAGCAGCCGCCGCATCAAGTGGTGTGAGTACACAAGTAACGAACAATGGTAGACGAGTGGATCGCTCTGCACGACCAGCTACGTCGCTTGCTCGAACCCACTCTTTGGCCTCCATGGTGAGGACGAATCTGCTCTGAGCTAGTGGTGCGGAAGGCTGAGAGCCGTCGCCGCTGGTGATGAGAGGGACAATGTCGCTTACGGCGTAGTTCAGACTGTCTGTAGTGGCCATTTTGATGAGCTGCAAGGGGAGATGGAGCCAGGAAGAGCGTCAGAACTGAAACACCTCAAATCTGTCGATCGCCTCGATCTACTCCCTCGTTACTCACCTTGGCAATGCTGACTGCGTGCTGGCCGAATCCGTACTTGATAAAGTTGTCCTGTGTCGTTGGCTGGAGCAGGGCAAAGGTGTTGCTCGCAAGGGTGTTCTTGGCATACACCTCACCCGATCTTCGCAGGAGTACAACGGGCAAGGGTATACCTTCCAGGACGCTGTGGACTGCGCCGTCCATGGAGGCTACCGACGCGGCTTCGAGTTCTGCAAGCTCTTCGGAGACGCGAGCGCCCTCCTGCAGCAGCTGACTTCTCTGCGACGTCACCACACTGTCCACCTCCGCTGCGACTCGCGCAGGCAAGTCACTGACTACCCAACGAGCAAGCTCGGCGTAGCTGCGTGTCCAGGAAAAGTTGTCCTTTGCTGCACCAGCATCGCCGCTGGTGGGTGTGACCTCGGCGTCGGCGAGGATCCTCAGAGGAAGGTAGCCATACTTGTCGAGGAGGTCTCCAGCGGTAGGCTGAAGCGACGAGCGCAACGCATCGATCTCACCAGCCTGGGTCAAGACTTCCGCTGCTCGAGGCACTTCTTGCGAGCCGTCTGCACCTGCAGCATCTTCCATCTGAGGTGGTGTGTGAGTGACACCGGAGCCTAGGGCCGAATTTGCTGCATGAGCGGCCTTGGCGAGCTGTCGAATGTCCGCCATACCCTCGGGGTAGTCAAATGGCATATCCTGGGCCAAAGACTGCTGTGACTGCTGCTGCTGCTGCTGGGACTGCTCCTGTTCTTGTTGTCGTTCGCCCTCCTTGCGAGGTCGTCGTGCGATGGGCTCCGCATCGATACAGAGCTCGGGGATGCCTCGCTTGAGACAGCGTGGACAAGGTCGCTGTTCCTGGCATGGCATGTGAGATCGCTTGCAAGGTCGACAGGCCTTTTGCACCTTCTTCCTCTTCTCCGAAGGGCTTCTGGAAGAGCTGGGTCCCGCGGCGTTAGACTCATCCTGGAGGTACTTGAAGTTCTTCTTCCTCTTTGAGCCTGCACCCTTTCCGCCAATGTCTTGCTGGGAGAAGGAAGAAGAGCCCTCATCGTCCATGGTGACGATGCTTGCGTCGTGATCGTGATCACCGCGGGCACCATCGGCGGAGCTTTGGGCCCTGTTCGCGTCCGAAGATCGGGAAGTAGGCATGTTGTAGGCTGAGCTGAAACCACCGTCACCACCAGACATGTTGTCTACCATTTGTCCGCCATTGTGGACCACGCCGCCGTCGCGCTCGAAGGCGGCATTTGCGACGCGTATGGCTGAAGCATCGCCTTCGGTGGCCTCATTGCCGGAGCCATCCGCTTGGACTCGCTCATCCTTGGGCGTAGGGCTGCCCGTCGCGTCTTGTGTCCTCATTGCAGAGACGGGTTGACTGATTTCACGAGGAGATCCGGGCTGGCCAAAGGGTCCGGAGAGACCTTTCTGGGCGGTGAAGGATGGTCCACTTCTGTAGCCGAATCCACCACGCGTCGATGGGTTTCGAGCTCGGTTGGCTTGGTCACCCAGCTCACTGCCCTTGAAGGGGTCAAAGCGTGCTGCTTCGACGGCTAGAGTGGCGGCAGTGCTGTTGCCAGCTGCTCCACCATTGGCAACATCGTTCTGGGGGATGTTCTGGGTGTACTGATTTTGGTTGCGATCGTTGGCCCAGGGGCTGGCGTCGGAGGATGTCGGGGCGAGGGTGCTGTGGGTGTTGGCAAAGTTGGCCTGACCCTCGCCGACGCCATCGTGACCGTTGCCGAGGGGGTTGTGGCTCATGGGTGGAGGATACCAAGGTGGTTGCTAGCGGCTGGGCGGGGCGAGTCGCGGTGAGGCCTTGGTGGGGGACGTGTGTGGGTGGATGGAAGGAACGGAAGAAAATCGCGACCAAATGTCGGCGCAGGAAGCAAACTCGCGGCGGCCAGGCGAGCGGGGCAGCCAGGCAGCGCTCAGTTCCGGCCCGAGGTCCAGGCAGGGTCAGGCAGATTCTTCGCTCCACCCAAGCTGTTCTACGTCGACTTCTACCATCACCCCCTGCATCGACCTCTACTCATTCGCTGGCCATCGTAGATGGAGGCAAGTCGTACCGTCTCGCAGAGCTACGTTGCCTTTGCTTCGGCGGTCAGGCGGCTCCTTCTTCCAACGACCAGTCGTGCTCCCAAGACACGCCTTGGCCATGACAGGCTCGCCCAGGACCGAGCATTCTCATCGACGGTCGAAGCTGCTGCGTCGGCGGTCGGATCTGCGTCTTCACCACGACCTCTACCAGTATATGCAACATATGGTCTGCAGAGCCTCATAGCGCAGCGCATGTCATGGGACCACTGGCCTGCAGGACCTCCTCAAGCCCTTGGCGTTGACGAGCTTGAATTACCCATGCCCTTCACAACGCCGCCTCCTCCCCGTTCCTTGTCAGTAGAGCACGAGGAGGAACCTGTAGAGCCCCAGGAAAGTAGTTCCCCACCGACGTTACACCGGCCGACGACCCATCTGCATTCAGGCCCCCGAGCAGCGCGCCTCATGTTGTCGAAAGGCAAGCTAGGGCAAGGGATGCTTCACTTCCAAGAAGCCCTCCGCAAAACATCAATACCACACACCCTCCTGCCGCCTTTGAGTCCTGGAGAGCGATCGCCTATAAGGCAAGAGGACCTCATTCGCGAGGGCGACTTCGAAGCTATCTTGCTTGAGCTCAGACTCATCTTCTCAGGCCGCAGGCAGCTAGATCGTGCTGCTGCTTGGGAGCGAAAGGCCTGGAGACCCGATGGACTACCACTTGACCGCAACATCGGTGACGTTCCGCAAAGCATACTAGCAGCATTTGCAATGGGGAGTACCTTCGACAGCTGCATAGCAATGGGTTACCGGCCTTCAAGCAGGATGGTAGCTATCCTCATCTCTTGCTTGTCTCACTTGTTGCCGACGGAAGCATTCACAGAAGCAGTGGAACTGGCCATGAGCTCAAGAGGCGGAGAGAATATGGGCAGGGACATCCTCGCTGCCATTGTAGTGGGTTATGGAAGGGCAGGCCAGCCTGAGAAGGGGGAGGCGTATCTTGCAAGGTATACGGACCTTCATCGGGACGTTAGCGCTTCCGCAACAAAATTATCTGCCTCAAATGTAGACTCGGATGGCTGGAGCCACGATGTTGGAATCTGGAATGCTCTTGTCCGTTCTCACGCTATTGCTGGCCAGCACGGGAAAGCAATGGCATGGCTGCGGAGGTATTCAGCCTTTTGCCAAAGGCCCGACGTGCCCAAGGAGCTCAAGCCGCAAGGTTCACCTTCGATCTATCTCACACTCCTGACGTCTATCGCTGAGCGAAAATTCACGAGAGGAAGCAGCGAGGGGATCAGCGACAACGTGACCCGTGAGGTCATGGCTGTCGTCAGCCTGATGATGCAGCATGGTGTCAAGGCTCACACTGCAATGCTGAACTTTCTCGCCGACTTTGAGAGGCGGAGGGGGGAGCATGTGTCCGCGAAGAAGCTTCTCTCGCAAGTCGCCTCAATTAACGCTCAGGCTGACGGACTAGGTCAGTTTGAAAATGCAGTGTTGCCCGACGGTCATGATGTTGATCGAACATCGCAGCATATCCTCGAAGAGAGGAACAATTGGGATAGCCACACTTACAGACAAGCCTTCGAGCTCGTCACGCAGAACTCTCTCGCAGGAGCGAAGAAAGCAGCCGACCCGGCCTCTGTGCTGCCTTCGCCGCGTTCACTCCTCTCATCTCTACTCAACGCCCACCATCAGAAGGCTCGAGGTCGACCTCGCGTTACATCTTCTGCGCTGCACAGCATCACACTGCTAACCGCCATCAAATCCTGCCTGACCTATCGAGACTATCCTGCCGCCGTAGTTGCTCTCCAGACATTTACCGTCTGCGCTCTCCCGCTGCCTGTAGCAGAGGTCTTCAAGATCATCTCGCACGGAGTCAAGAAGCACTCGTTCCTTGCCCCGGCCCAGATGTACTCGCGTCTGAACGATGGCGTTGGAAGCATTCCCAAGATCGGACCTCTTCAGGGTATGTTGGAGGCAGCGATCCTACATGAGCTGCAAGAGGGGAAGGAGTCCGACTGCTCCGACTCGCCCGGGTGGGTCAGAGCAGCTCTAGGTGCGAGCGGCGCGAGTGGCGCAAGCTGGGATGCATTGCCAGACACAGACAAGCTTCACACTGTCATGCGGGACGTCAGGAAAGAGGTCTTACCGACAAGACGGTCTGACAAGCCTGTTCTGACTCCAGAGCAATTGAAGGCTGCTAGGAAGCAGGCGGAGATGCGAGCTCACCGACGGAGCCAGCAGCTAGGAACCGTAGAGGTAGACTGAGAGGCTCTGGTAGAATTAATCTCTTGTATTTGTACTATTACTGTACACACTCTGTCCCTCTGCCTCTGTAAAATTACAATGATACCACTTTAGAAAGACACAACTTTCCTCTTTGGTGCGGCAATCCCACCTCCCATCGCTACCTTCTGCCTCTTACCGTCCCTCTTCTCCTCTCGATCCACCTCGACTTTCCTCCTGGCAAAATCAATAAAGTCGTCCTCATCTGCACCCACCTGTCTCTTTGCTCCTCCCACGGTAGCATTTGTCGCGACTGTAGCAGAAGAGGAGCGTAGATCGCAGTCTTTTGCAAGATGTTCGACGGAAGAGCAGAGCTTGCAGCAGCCACCATTGGGGTAGACTCCATGGGATGCGTTCCGGGGACATTTGGAGGAGAGGTGGCCCTTCTCCTGGCAGACGAAGCAAGTAGCAAAGGGCAGGTCTGAGCCTACCTGAGGAGCTGGGCGACGACAGCGGGCGAGAATGTGCTGTGTAGATCCACAGCGGAAACAGATCCCGACTGTCTCCTTGCCCGTTAGGGTGGATGTTGCGCCTTTTTGCGGCTGCTCGCTTGACTGCTCCTCCCCTTCCAGAGCTGTAGTGGAGGAATTGAGAGCTTGAGGACAATCCTTTGCGGCGTGGCCCATGGCTCGACAGGCGAAGCAGCGCGTTTGAGAATTCCTCTCTGCTATCCTCTTCTCTCTACGGGCTTCTGAGCTGGCAGACGTCTTGGCTCGTCGTTCTGAGCAAGGGGAATCGAGGGTGAGCATGATAGCTCGATCTGTACTGCATGGATTGACACTCGACTCACCAGCTTCCATCTTCTTCCATGGATTCGTCTCTCCTGCTCCCGCTGCGTCTTCAGCATTCGCCCTCTTCCGCTTGCTGCTACCGTCCCGCTCACTAGCGACCTTCTTGCCCTTCTGACCATTGGCAGCATGGAGTGACTGCTGCACCTCTGCCAACTCGCCTTGCAGGGAGGCCTTCTTCTCCTCGGACTTTGCGTTCTTGATCTTCAGTCTGAGAAGCTTCAAACGCGACTGCAACTTCTTTGGATCGGATGCGGTGTCTGCCTCCGTTATTGATGCTGGAGCTGCTGCTGAGGGAGGAGCGGGCACGGAAGGAGGAGGCAGTGGCGAGGCCGACGTTGAGGCGGTGGGCTGCTCATCGTCCGCAGCGACTCTTGGAGCAGAGAGATCGGTAGCTTTGTGTAGAGCCTTGCGACCGTCGAGCTTGGTATATCTGGTCATCGTCAAAGAGGCTGATGGGTGTGATAGGTGAGGATGATGCGGTACGGAAGAAGCTTGTCGTGTGCTTCGTGCGTTTCAGGGAAATTCCTGCCGCGGCTCCACCCAACCGGCGGCGAACGACCGGAACGGAGTGGAGTCGAGTCGGACGACGTTGGCCCCTCAGCCACCATCGAGGACTGGCAAGTAGTGGCAGGCACATACCTCTTTCAGCATCATCTTCCAACGTCTGTGGCCTTTCCACAGCATTACCCTTTCATCCTCTTGATACCCGCAAGGCATAGCCTTCACTACCTTGCCGCATCTGAGCTTGCCGTTGCTACCCCTCCTCACACCCTGCTGCGATCTGGCGCGTCTCCGCTTGCCACCTTCGGAAGAGCATATACGGAAGGCAGACCTTCCTGACCCTCTCAAGAAGTATTGCGTACGACGCAAGACTCTCTAGTACACATCATTCGTCTACTTTGGCTACGTACCTTCATACCCCCTCCAGGATCAGGACCCATCGGCTCGCAGCAGCAAGGTACGCCTCGCCTCGCCTCACCTCTCTGAGGCAGCTCGTCCTACTGCCTGCTCCACAAGATGCCTTTCGACCTAGACTCGTGCATCTCCACGCTGCTACGGAAGCAGCTCCTGGGGGAGCCGCTCCTGAAGGAGATATGTGAGAAGACAAAGGAGCTGCTCATGAGGGAGGGTAATGTGGTACATATCAGCGCGCCGGTGACTGTAGTGGGGGATATTCATGGGTGAGTTTAGCAGCTGGAGGAGAAGTAATGAGCAGGAGGCTCTAGAGCAACAAGGGGGAGCAGAGCAGGAGCTCAGCCTTTCCTCTTCTTGGTCTGACCCATATCTTTGCGCCCATTCAGCCAATTCTACGACCTGATAGAGATCTTTCGGATAGGTGGCTATTCACCGCATACCAACTACCTCTTCCTGGGAGACTACGTCGATCGGGGTCTCTTCTCAGTGGAGACAATCAGTCTCCTGACATGTCTGAAGTTGCGGTATCCGGATAGAGTGCAATTGATCAGAGGCAACCACGAGAGCAGGGCAGTGACACAGGTGAGCAGTGCCGAATCAGGCCAGAAACGCCATCCTCAAGGTCAGCACTGAAGCTGAACCTCTGCCTTGTACGCCCCTTCGCGTGCGTCTCCCTCCCCAGACATATGGCTTCTATACCGAGTGTACGCGCAAGTACGGTGGCTCAACAAAAGTCTGGCAGTACTTCACAGACATGTTTGACTTTCTCACCCTCTCCGTCGTAATCGACGACCGCATCTTCTGTGTGCACGGCGGTCTCTCCCCCTCTGTTCACTACATCGATCAAATCAAGATCATCGATCGGTTCCGCGAGATTCCGCACGAGGGTCCGATGGCCGACTTGGTTTGGTCAGATCCAGATCCGGACAAGGAAGAATTCGCAATCTCACCTAGAGGGGCGGGCTATACTTTTGGGGCCACTGTCGTCTCCCATTTCCTAGAGCGCAACGGGATGAACCACATCCTTCGAGCTCACCAATTATGCATGGAGGGATTCTCGGTCTTGTACGACGATAAGCTCAGCACAGTCTGGAGCGCACCGAATTACTGCTACCGATGTGGGAATATGGCTTCCATCCTGGAGGTGGGGCCGGGAGGGACAAAGCACTTCAATACATTCATGGCTGCGCCGGAGAATGAACACGATGGACCGGCACAAGCCGGCCAGCAAAAGCACGACGCTGTGGACTATTTCCTATGATGGGTGGGAAGTTGGCACGTTGCGCTTGTACGTGCTCAGCATAGCCCTCAAGAGCAACGATTTCGAGTCCCGCTCCAGAAATGGGCTGTACTCAAGAGGGTCGTGGAATGCAGTCGACTCCCCTGTCAGGCTGACCTACTGGCTCCAGTGGCAGCCTCGCTCGCTCGCCATTCAAGATGCGACATCTCCGACCTTTGATCAAGCCCTGAAGTAGGGGACCAGCCAGGATGCCGTTGGCCTTGGTCACGTATGCAGCACAAAGCATCAGCAGCAGCAGCAGCTTGTAGAGGAGGTCCATCATCATTATGATCCGATAGTGCAATGTAGATACCATGGTGAAGACCCGTTGAGCCGGGCCCCTCCCGCCAACGATCAAAATGAGCAAACGAGAGCAAACATGGTGTGAAGTGCGCTTGCGAGTGATGTTTTGCGAAGAAGGATGCGCACATGTGGCAGAGTACGCAGAAGTAGGTCGAAATTGATGTGACTGTACCCAACTACTCTCCCCTACCTCTCCTCCTCTACTTCTCCTTCAGCTTCCTCTCCCCCACTTCCTCCCCTTCCAGCGCATCCAAAGCATACCAAGCAGCATGACATCCCCCATACGCCAGTCCAGCATACGCAATACACCTAATCCACGCCGGAAGTACCTCGCGGTAGTAGAGCCTGTGTCGGGAGGGAGGCTTGTTTGGATCACGACGCGGGGGCAGATGGGCAGGCCGTTCGGGACGATCTGCCCTTGCGGCAGTGGCCGAAGTGGAGAAGAGACGGGCTTGCTGCGTGGCTGGACGGGAGGTGGTCGAGTGTGGGAGGGGTGAGCCGGGCAGGACAGCCGAGGAGGTACTCGAGGTGGTGTGCGCCGCAGAGGAAGGAGAAGAAGAAGGAGGAGCGATGCTGGGCTTGACAGCCTCCCAGCTCCTCCTCTCCTCCCTCAACACCTTTGCCTCTAGCTCGCACCACTCCCTCACGATCCTCCCGATCTTGGCTCGCCAGCCATAGACACCCTGCATGGCTACCTCCTCTACTCGCTCCTGCAGGCTTGCTCGAGCGTTTGCGGGAATACGGGTGAGGAGGTCTCGAGTGAGAAGACGAGAAGAGATGCGCGCGTGCGAGCGTTGCAGGGACCAGAGGGCGTAGGTGCTTCCCAGGAGGGCGATTCCGAGAGAGGTAGAGGGATCAAAGGAGGGGAGCGAGAGGAGGTCTGTCAGGTAGGCCGAAGGGACGGCCAGGAGCGACGAGCTACCACTCGAGCTTGAGCCCGCAGCTGTCCGTTCAACATATGGGAAGAGTTGATGCGAAGCCAAACCCCAGCCCGCAATGGACCAGGCGAGTCCGGTGGTGGCATAGAAGCGGAAGATGGACGACTGGATACGCCTCTGCAGCGAGTCGAGGATACTCACTCCGCCCTCTTCCGGGGAAGGGCCCAGTCCCGCACTGCCGCCGCCGGGGAGCTCGGCTGTGACGGGGCCAGCCGGCTTTGCTGCGAAGGCTCTTCGGCCTGTAGGAAGGTTGCGGCCGAAGAAGTGGTCTCTTGCCCGAATGATTGGCTGGGCGAGGATAGTCGGATCGTTCAGGTCCACGTTGGGGGAAGAGAGATAGGCCAGGGAAGCCGAGCGCATCTCCAGTATCCGGGAAGGAGGAAGTGATCTCAGGCGGTCCGCTCTCTTGGCCTTGATGTCGGACTGACTGCCAGAAGCTGCTTCACTTTCCTCGCCTTCGTCATTGGGTAGCTGTCGGCCTTTCTGTAGCCGAGTCACAAGCTCCTCCATCTCCCTCTGCTCCTTGCCTTGCAGCTCCTTCAAGCGCCCACCCCACCAGGTCAACCTTTCCTCCGTCTCCTTTCCACCCAGCCAGTCCCTCTCAAGTGCCACATGGATCCTCTCTCTAGCTTCCACATCGCCGATGAAAGGCAGCTTCCACCACTTGGGTAGCAACGGCGGCTCTTTTCCAGAGTGAGGCGGCTTCTTAGTGATAGAGGGGGTGGAGGAGAGAATCTTGCCCACTAAGTGGGAGGCATCTGATTCGGCTGAGCGTTCTAGCCAGCTCGCCCAGGAGCGCATCTCGTCCAGGTCGGTCCTTGCGAGGGAGAGGCGAGTAGCGATCTCCTCGGCAGCATGCGATACCAGCAATTGAAGATGCTCCTGCTCGTGCGAACTCGATGAAGCGATCAAAGAAGAGACCAGAGCCGGCAGACCAGATTCTGTAGAGAGGCTCTGGAAGTCCGACCAAGAATTGGTGCGACTTTGACTGGCAGACGAACTGCTGCTCGCGTGACTGCTCAGCGCAGGGAAGCCCATAGCTTCGCGAAGAGCCTCCTGGGCGTGTTGAACCTTGGTTGTATCAATAAAGTCCATCTGCAATCGAGGCACACCAGCTATAGCTGAAGAAGCCGCGAGCCTAATGATCTGTTGAGCCGCTCTTGTGCGATCAGACGACTCTGCTGCTTCACCGTTATGAGCGACAGTCAGGCGCAATCCCGGATGGTTCGCAAAAGTCCGCAGGACGGAGCCTAGCTCTTGCAGCCATGGCGATGGACGCGGCGTGAAAAGCGCCGAGTAGGAGCATGACAGGATGACTTGGGACGCCAGGTAGATGGCAGACAATGTTTCCGAAGCTGACAGATCACAGTCTATGCGTAGAGTAAAGCACAGATGAGAGACTTGTGTCAATCGGTGAGAGGGGGCAAGGCGCCTGCTCATTCATTGAACTCACCTTGCACCTCCCTGAGGACCACACCGGTCTCCTTCAGCCATGGCAATGGGACCTCGAGCACACCACTCCGCTCTTGCAACCGCACCTCCTGTCCATACCTGACAATCAGGTCCGTCCCGCTTGGCAGGCGTCGTCTCGCCTCGGCTAGTGCAACAGGCATTCTTCCTGTATGATCTACCATTCCGTCCTCTAGCAAAGCCGCTAGAACATCGGTGCCCTCCTCCTCTCCCTGCTCCTCGCTCTTGAGACGCAAGATCAGAACTTCTTTGGCTGGATCTGAAGCCGAGAGGACATTGCTTGAGGATGAAGCCAGAGCTGATGAGACTCTGCTGGCCCAGGTGGGGTCGCTTGTAGTGAGGGAGCTGGACTTGAAGAAGGGCAGGAGCGATGCGAGAGCACTGGTCGGGTCTGTCGAGAAGGAGGTAGGAGGCGATGCTGCCGAGGTCGCCGTGGAGGCCAATGTCCTCCTGGAAGCATGCGATGGGCTGGACGAGATCTTCGGAGAGCTAGGGCTAGACTGTGCATTGCATGCTGTTCCAGCCCGGGTGTGAAGCGATGCGTACTGGAAGACGCCGGAAGGCGAGATTGCAGCGGCCTGGGAGCTTGCGAGACCTCTTGCAGCAGTCGAGCGGCGCAACATCTTGCGACGTCCACACCCGCTGATCAGCCTGGCTGGCACTGCCGAGCTGAACGACGCACGAGGGACCATCGTTGTGGGAATATGGCAGAAGCGATGCCGTGGACGAAGATGAGGATGAGTAGCGTCAATGCGAAGGAGTGACCGACCACCTTCGTCGGAGCCACGCGGGTTCACCTCCATCTCGCGCCTTGGAGCCGAGGCGGCGGCGCTCGATTGACCCACCGACTGACTCACGCCCTTTCCGCCGCCGACGAGGGACCAGAAATTAGGCGGCAGTCAGCTTCCAGGCCAGGCCTCACTCGACCATACCTCGGGGAAAGACACGAGAGCTTCTATCTCTCTTGGCTGTTCAACATGCCGCAAGTAGCAACAATAGCACAAAGGGGCACCGTCCTCGGTCTTGTGGGAATGAGCGTGAGTAGTGCGGCAGCGGGGCCACCGAGCTGCTTGCAGTATCGAAGGCAGCGAGCAACCTTGCTGACTCCTCGTACGCCTCCTTGCTTACACTCCTTCCCTCTTACAGGTCTGGGGTATCTGGTTGACAGCAGCAGTATGGAAGAGTAGGAGAGGTGAAGGCGCAGTGAGTAGCACATGCCCATTTCTCTTGCGGTTGCAGAATAGGAACGGCCAGGATAGGCACAGGTACTCAACATTTCCTCGCCTTCATCTGTTTCTTTGACGTAATTCACAGATGCAAGGCCCAAGACCTGGTCAATTACCAGAGGCACCGACTGTCGTAAAGGAGCACCCTCTGCATGCGGGTCAGGGTGGCAAGGGTCACACCGTGTAGTCTATCGATCCTCATCCGGGTACGCAAAGAGGGATAGGGAGGGATGGACCTAGCTAGATCGCATGGTGATTCATCTTCGGGGAGGAAAATGAGAAATTGCCAGTTCATTCAGGATACCAGTAGCAAGAGAAAGCAGCACGGGAATATGTCCCACTGCCAAATCCTAGCATGCAGCCTATTTGGTTGGCTCTCCCCTAGTACGCTACCCATTGTGAGAGGGACACACCCTGTCTACTAAATCCTTGTGGCACACTTTCAACACAAAGATGTAGCTTAATCTGAAGACGTCATCACATTCAGGCATCGTGGCTGGCGAGAAGGAAGCTGTATGAATGATTCTGGAAGTCCTAGCGCGCCCCACTCCTCGAAAAACCGCTGTTGACAAGGCAGAACAGGAACGCAAATGCAGTGGACCATCCATCGAAGACGTGAGAGCAGTAGAAGTGGATGTCATTGGTACCATCGCAAAAGTCCTATTCCCCTGATCTTGCGTGTCAAGGCGATCCCCCGTTGGTCTCCTCCTCATCTCGGCACACCATCAGATGACACGGTCTATCAGAAGCCGAAATCACATAGCGTACCTGACGAAAACAAAATGAGTGTGGCATAGAGGAGTGTGAGTTTCTCGTCATGCAGATCTCAAAGCTGCTGCCTGGTCAAACTCACTTCCTAGTCCACTCCCGTGCAGTGCTCTCATACCTGGCACGGTCCGTCTTGTACAGATGAGCGACCTCTGGCACCAGCGGATCATCCGGATTCGGGTCTGTCAGCATAGAACAGATTGACAGTAGCACTGTGTAAAGGGAGGCGAGAGCGGAAATGACAGTGAGCGTGAGAAGCGGTTTGAGCGGCGATAACCTCATCGCCACTCGGCCTAGGCCAACAACGTACCCTTTGAGATGGTCAATGCCGGGCTCCACTGATCTCTCAGGATGTCAAGGCAGATGGATCCGTTCGAGTTGATATTGGGGTGGTAGATCTTGGTCTGGAACGATACCTTGGGCGGCTTGAAGGGGTAGTCGGTGGGGAAAGTGATGTTGAGGAAAAAGACCCCGCCAGAGAAAGGAGAGTCACCCTGTGAGGACGATGAAGGAATAGAGAAGGGTATCAGTCGGACTGATCACACTGCACAGTCTCGGTCCCTGAGGCAAATGTGCCACTCACGGGCCCCATGATCGTCGCTTGCCACTGAGAGAGTCAATCAAGAGATGATACAAATGTGATGGTCAGATGTGCTGCCACTTCGGAGCTTCCGTCGGCCGCGAGACCCGCCGAATGAGCCTCTTGACTTGACACGCCACTCACCTGGAACATGTTGTCTCCAGTAGGTCCAGCGCTGCAAGAGGAGGGAGGGTCGCGACCCAGATCGGCGAGCTCCTACAGGGGGTGATGTGAGAGAAGAGGGGTCAGCGGCCGGCTACAGCGTATGGGGTCTGCCTCAACCTCCTACTAACCTTGTTGATTCGCTTGAGAGCCATTGTGGAGCTGTGGGATTGGTAGGAGGGGAGGAGCAGAGGCAATGGTTCAAGGTGTCACTACATGTACCCAGTGCAACACCCACTGCCGAACGGGAACAACAAAATATCCGCTTCCAAATCCCACACTTTCGAAGCCCTCATACGAGATCCGACTGTTGCGCTCGTCACGGCTTGGTGATCAGGCAAACTCAAGTCGCAAAGCGTCCGATACTGTTCCGTAGCACTAGCGCACAGACGATATACTGAGCGGAGGAGGGGACTTGTCTGCCTCGGCGGTGTACTCACTTCTGAGAGTCTTTGCAATGGAGGGCTCAGACGAATGCAGGGAGGGGAGTGGGTTGAATAGGTATGCTACCGAGTGCTTTGCTTCGCTTGGGACGAGAAGACTGAAGGAAGACTTGTAGAAAGGGATGGAGAGGGGTGCGAGGTGGTGAAGTGTTGATGATATCGGCGGGAGAGGAAAGGCGGTGTGTGTGAGTGAGTGGCTGCTGGGTGGAGCCTGTGTCTCTGCTGGTTGATGGGAAGGGGGCGGCAAAAGAGTCGTCTGCCTGGGCCTTGTGCGCGATCCCCTTCCGTTCCGCGTGCCAGGCTTCCTCAGCCTCTCATCGCTTCCCCGAACGACGCTCATCATCCTCGTCCACAGACCTGACATCCTCGTACCCTCCCATCAGCCCCTTTCATATCTCCTTTAATCCTGTCTCTGGCTTGCGAGCGCGGCAGCTCGCTGGCCAAGTCGTATTGACAGGCTCTTCCGGTTGTGGCCATGCAGGCATCGGCCTCGGCCTTAACTCCCACACGCGAGCCTAAAGCAGACAGCGCCGAGACTGAGGATGACTCCTACAAGGGAGACGGCAATCAGAGCAGTCAGGCAGGCAAAGTGAGCGCCTCAGAACCATCGGCTGTGAACGGAGAGGTAACTACTGCTGCTCTGTCTGGCTCGACGTCACAGAGTGACCTTGCTCAGACTGCAGACCCTTCAGCATCCGCTCTGACCACAAAGCCGGCCAACGGGGACGCAGCCGATGTTCGCAAAGTCTCCGAAGATGCTCCTCGATCAAACATCGTCGCTCCTCTACCGCCTTCAGAGCCAAGAGGGGAACAGACAACCTCCACGAAGCCCGAAGACTCGGCGACCATGCCAATACTCGACATTCCAAAGAAAGAACCCGCTGGACATGTGCGATCTCCTAGTCCGAGTAGCGTCACCAGCGAGGAGGAAGGGATGATCAAAGAGGACGAAGAGGAAGAGGAGGAGGGAGAGGTTCCAGAAGATGTAGCAGTCACCTCGTCGGCCATATCTACATCGCCTCGACGCCCACTGGCTGAGAGGTTCTCAGCAGCGCCTCCACCAGTGCGAAGGTGGGGCTACGCTGAGCCTCGTGCGCCAGCATCATTCGACCCGCATCCATCCTCCTCTGCATCATCTACATCTTCTAGAGATCGAGACCATCTCAGATCTCGCGAGATCGATCGAGAACGAGAAAGGGATAGAGGCTGGGACAGACCGCGGGACAAGGAGTGGGACTTAGAGCGCGAACGGGAAAGGGAACGAGACAGGGGAAGACTCGCTGGCCCACCTTCCCGTATGCCGGTAGGCAGAGCGTTCGAGGAGCCTCTCATGTCTAGGATACCTAGAGGCGGTGACAGCTACCGGCCAGGCGGTGCTACGCCAAGACCGCAAGGTGGCCATCGGACCAACAGTGGCGATTCCACTAATGACAATGTCCTTGGGCGGGATCGCGATGGCCGCGATCGCAAATCCCTGTCTCCCCAGCTACCCAGGGATCGAGAACTGCGCGACACAAGGTCGGATCGTCGAGACGTCACGTCGTCTCCGGCAACACCTCTCTCTGGACCCAACTCCATTGGCCCTCGTCTGACCCCGCAGGTGTCACCCGCGTTCCGAGACGATGTTGACCGGCGGGGTGCGCAACCGATAGGCTCAAGCACAAGACCATGGGGAGCCACACCACAATCGAGTAGATGGAATAAATGGGGCACTCCCCGTGACAGAGAAGGCAGAGAATTCTTTGACTCCCGAAGGATGGGTGCGGGAGAAGAGGAGAGGCCTACCGGCCGCTCTAACGACTCGGCATCAGAACGCACACCACTCCGATCCTCCGTTGTTCCCGAGGACAGCATGACCTCCCGGCGTCCCACATCACCACCAAACGGTTCAAGCGGTTCTGGTTCTCAGCGACGAGGCTCTCGCTCTTCACGAAGTCCTGTTGCTGATCGCTCGGCTAGGAGTCAATCTGTCTCCAACTCTATCGCCAACGGTGAGCCAGCCTCTCCTACCTCTTCGCGAGGAAGCAAAGTACTACCACGACCATCACCTTTCGAGCCTCCACGAAGTGATTCAGGCTGGGGTTCTAAGGCGAGAAAGACCGACACCGGCGCGTTGGCCGAATCCGCTTCAGCTAGCCTCGTCCCAGTGGAAGGCCTCGATCTAGACACAAAGCCTCACGTCGAGGAACCGACATCTCTGCTGGATGCTACTGTTGCGCAAAAAGCCGAAAGCGAAATACCAGCCACCTTTGTTGACGAGGGCGAAGGGGCGCATTCCGCTGCGGACACAGATAAGACTCCAAACGCGAGCGCTACAAAGTTGTCTGCAACTCTCGAACAAGAGAAGTACGCAACCACCTCAACAGAGGACACGCCGATGCAACAACTAGAGCGGGCAGATGTGGGAGACCCGCATGAGCCACAACGCGCAGAGGACAAAGGCGCCGTCAACGCTTACGCAGCACAAGAGACAGTTGAAATAGCCAACAATGAGTTGCCGGTTGACAATTTACCTGAAGACACGAGCCACAGAGTTGTCCCAACAGGCGCCATTGAGGCTGTCCATATGGTTGTAGACGAGGAACGGGCCCCCACAGACTCAGCGCAGACACAGACAGGAGCTACTGGTGACGTTCCAGGCCCCGTGGACACCCCAACGTCCACTGTGGAACGAACCGTTGCCTCACCAATCCTAGCATCGACTTCTGCAGCGCCTACGCTCCCCGCTGAAGCTCAGATACAAGCCAGAGTTCACGGAGCTGGGCCCAGTGGCATGGGTTCTGTTACTCCAGCCGCGTTCGCAAAAGTCGCTCTGGCGGAGGACATCAAGATGCACATCGACGAGGCTACCGATGGTGTGACGTCGCAGGAGGAAGGCAGCTACTTCCCGACCTTCGTCTCTCAACCTCTGAAGAAAGAAAGTGCTCTCAGCGCTACCAACACCTCAGTTGTATCAGCAGAAGCGGGGGTGTCTTTACCGGTGGACACGCCCTCCCTGACTTATCCGACCGCGCCTCTAGTCCGGATTTCACCGGGCGCGACAACGCCGCATCTGTCCCCGAGGAAGGCCAAGCGCGAATTGACCCCGCTTGCAGCGCACAAGAGTCAGGAGGAGCTGGATGAGGCGAAGAGGGCGACTATACGACGTCTTCTCTCGAGCAGCAAGGACCTCGCGGACGAGCAGATCGCCATCCTCCTGGAGCGTAATCGTCGCTTGGCGGAGCACACGACTTTCAGTGTGCTGCAGTCAGCCATACATGGCCCCCCTTTCGTCAAAGAAGAGCTAATCGGACCTGTCAGCTACGTGGCAGATGCGGACTTTGACCGTGCTCGGACACTTCTCAAAGACCGCCTCGGAAACCGTAACAAACGCCTTGAGGCCAAAGCGGACCGGCTGAGGAGCCGATACCGTGCTTTGGACTCGGATTGGAAGGCTCACTGTGCTCGTTTGGATCGCGCTGCTGAGTTGAGGGAGAACGCCCGGAAAGCAGCCAACCAGATCGGCACGCCTGGCGGTATGCAACAGACACAGCAGCAGCAACCCGGGGTGGAAGACGCCCCGACAGTCAACGATGGGCATCGCCAGAGCTCCATTCTGGGAGGAGGCTCCATCACAAGCGGGCGTGCCAATCGTCGTGGGACCCAATCCGGCTTTGGCTTCGGTGACGCTGTCAGATCTGAGGCCGAATTCCTTGAGATTCTTGCTTCTTTGGAGTCCGCAGACATGCAAGATCCCGAAGCTCGGGCTGCTCGCACAGCAACGACCGTACCCGATCAATTGCTCAATCCAGACAAAGACGTACCGCTACAAGAGGACTGGGACGACCGCAACGGCTTCATTGCAGATCCCGTCGCCTTCTATCTGGACGAATTCGACCCTGACCACTGGTCAGAGGAAGAAAAGATCACCTTTGCACGCAAATATGCCATCTGGCCAAAGCAATTTGGCAAGATTGCGTCTGCTCTCCCGGATAAAACGACAGCTCAATGTGTCTACTACTACTACCTCACCAAACACCAGCCTGGTCATGATTACAAGGCGATCACAGCGGCGAGGAATCGTAATCAGAAGCGCAAAGGGAAGGGCAAGCCGAAGAAAGGGAAAGGCAGCGCTCTCATGGCAGATCTCAAGCGGACTGATGAGGCCGGAGATGATGATGAGCCTGGTTCGCCCATGGACGTCGGGCAATTGCAGTCTCGTCCCAGTCTGCTCGGTGGTGTAGATGCTAGTCTTCTTCCTCTCGCCGAGGAAGACGAGTCTTTTGAGGGACAAGGCCCAAGCACATCGAAGAAGCAGCGACGAGGTGCTGAGGATGGGACGACCGACAGTGCTGATGTTGCGGCTACACCAGCAGAGAAGCCTGCAAAGGGCAAAGGTGGCAAGAAGGGTAGAGGACAAGGCAAAAGCAAGGCTGCGAACGTTTCGTTCGATCAAGCCAGCCCATACCCTGACTCGCCCTTACCGACCCCGACGGCGGAATCATCTGTCGATCCTGATCTGGCAGCTGCTGAAGCTCTTGGCGCTCTGGCTGGCGTTGTACAGATCCCACTGGCCTCGAATACTTTGCCACAGCCGCCATCTACGACCAGCAAAGGCAAGAAGCGTAAAGCAACAGCCGGCGCAGTCGTTGAGGGCGGTACAGACAACTCCGGAGCAGTCCAACGCAAGGCGAGAGCTTCGACTTCTTCATACTGGTCGATTCAAGAACGAACCGAATTCCTGCGGGGTGTAGTCATCTTTGGCAAGGATTGGACCGGTGTCTCCGCCCTGCTGGGTGCAAAGTCCGCAGCGCAGGCTCGCAACTTCTTTGCTCGAAACGCTCAAGTGCCAGAATTTATCGAAGCCGCTCAGCTGGGCGAAGACAACGCTCACCTGCCAGTCGCCGCACGTGAGCAGCAGGCTGCAGAGTGGGTTCGTGATCGCATCGGTCTCATCACTGACGACGGCGGTGTCAGCAGGGGATCAGCTGCAGAGGACACATCTATGGAAGACGCCACACCACGGCGAGGAGGTATGGGAATCATGAGTCTGCTCAATGATGAGGCTGCCAGCGACACCTCGTCTCGCAAGAAACCCTCGCTGCAAGAATGGTTTGGCGACGAATCGCAGGAAGGTCCTGAGGCGCTGCCAAGCTCGGAAGATCGCATCTTCTCGAGCAGCGGCGTGCTTGCGACGGACGACGACGACTCGACAGATACAGAGGATCCCTACGCGCCTTCTCAGTACTCTTCAAGGTCATCGACAGCTGTGCACACCCCTACAAGCTATCAACCGGCACTCAGTGCCGAGCACCGTCCCCATTTGCCCGAGACCATGAGTCATCCTCCGAGGCCCAGTCTCACTGCGCAGCGCCCGATGCCACCGCCTAGTGTCGGCTCGAACCTTGGCAGCTTGCCACGACTGACGTCTTCAGCGTCAAGCAGCACTGATAGCCAAAGAGACTCTTACGGCGACTACTCGCGATATTCACGCTCACCGGCGTACGAGATTCGCAATCAGCTTTCTCCGCTGGTGCCACTCAGCAGCTCACGCACCGGTGCAGTGGAGCAAGGCGATATCCCGCCGTATGCCCGTCGTGCGCTGTACGACCGAGGGCAGGCACCCGTGTACGATCGTTCGAGTGCTAGCATGCCGCCGCCGCCACCTCTGAGTGCGGGCTCAGCTTCCTCGGCTCATCGGCCATCCTGGGGCGCTGCCTCTCAAGTAGACTCGCGATCCTCCCACCCGGACTACTCTCAAAGTCATGGGAATTCGTCTGCGATGAGATCGTCCAGCGCTACCCCCTACCCATCAGAGACCGAGCATCAGCTTAGCGCGAGGGGTGGCCCAAGCCCTCTCGGCGGGCGCCCTGACTACCTCTCTCCGACTTCATCCTTCCGGCCGCTTCACCCTTCTCACCCTTCAGCCTCCTCTTCTTCCTCATCGTCGGGACCTCCACCGGTCCCAGCCAACGAGCGGTACTATCTAGAGTCAAGCCGTCCCTCTTCTGCCTCGGCAAGTATACCACCTTATTCCTCCAGTAACCACGGCTACGGCCACGGCCACGGTCATCAGAGTCACCATCAGGAGATGAGCAGGGACCGAGGCGGCGATGCAATGACCCGACGACCAACTTCGAGCGATGGCAGGTCGGGGCTGACCCCTTCATGGGGATCGCACACCTCCCATTCATCCCTGCATCATCACCATCAACAGCCACCGTACCAGCAGCAGAGCTCCTATGGCCCACAATCGAGCTCACGCGAGCTGCCCTTGCCCTCGTCCATGGCACACGCATCGGCAGCTGCTGCTCCTCCGCCTCCGCCGCCTACTCTGCCTGGCAGTAGTAGTGCACGAGACCGAGACAGGGAAAGGGAGAGCGAACAGCATCGGGATGGAGCTGATGGTCGCAATGGGGCTTACAGCTCCTCGTATCGGTGGTCTGGACCTGGATCGTGAAATGCTATGATGGAAGATTCGCGAGCGACGATGGATGGACATACCTTCATAGGAGCAAGAGCAGCGTTTTATGCTGATCGACTAGTCTACTTGTAATATCACATGCACACACACACACACACACACACACACACACACACACACACACACACACACACACACACACACACACACACACAC